GCTGTCTGCAAATGACGGTGGGAGAAGGGATGGGGGGACCGTCTGTGACGCTGGGCAGCTCTGGGAGAGGAGCTGGACTCGGTCTTCAAACCACCCTGAGGAGCCATCAGCACTCGGGGTCCCTCTCGGGGCTGCCTGACCGAAATGCCAGTTTGGAGCTTGATTTCTCAGTCCTGAAACAGATCAAGAGCCCACCCTCAGGAAGGCTCAAATTCTGGCGGAAAATGATCAATTTTCTTCTTTTCAGGGCCTAGGCACCAGGTCAGCTCTCTAACACGCGTGTGCCGTACGATCACCGACTGCAGGGAAGGCTGATGGGGCACGTCCTGGCCCGAGACGAAGCTCCCGTCTGCAGGTCGCCGCCCAGCACTGGCAGCCACGGCCACGCTGAACGGAGATTTGCTGGAGGCGTAAAACACACCCGATTTTGAAGACTGAGTACAAAATAAGAATGCAGACTATCTCGTTAATAATTTTTATGTTAATTACATATTTCAATGATAATATTTTGGGTATGTTAGGTTAAGATGTATTAACATTACTTTCACACTTTTTTACTTTTTAAACATGACTGTTAGAAAGTGTAAAGTTGTTACATGCATGCTTGACACAGTTGTATTCAACAGCCTTGCTTCACGGGGTCCGTAATGTAGTGCAGTTGACTTAACCCCTGTGAGCTTACACGCCCCGTAAGACCCTGTAAATTCTCACACGTGCCCACCGGGCCTCACGGACCCCTGGCATGATCCCAGCCACGCCAGACCCACTTGGACTCTGCGTTTTATCGAGGTGCTCACGTGGTCTGCGGGCATCTGAAAGCTCGGGGACTGGGACCCAGAGAAGATGGGTCTCCGTGCCCCACCGGGTCAGGGATTCTGAACCCGGGGGCCAAGATGGTTCTGGGCTTAGCAGCCTGCAGAGTTTGATGCGGGATGTCTGTGCACGTCTGCGCACGTGGGTTTTCAGGAAAGGGCCACTGCCTTTATTTTCACACGGGTAAAGCAGTGTTCTCAGAGGACGGCCTGTCAGCCACACTCAGAACTTGGCAGCGGCGCCCACGCTGGGGCGGGACGAAGCCGCGATTTAATCAGCCGTGTGGGAGACCCCGACATCAGAAGCTCGAGAACTCCCGAGTTGGCAACTGAAGGCAAAGAGAAGGGTGAAGCCACTTACTGCTGGACAGTCTAGTCTGGGTCTCCGGACTGTGAAGTGCCCGGACCGAGACCGGCGCCGCGTGGACTGGCGGGAGGAGCGCCGTGGAGCAAGGGAAGGTGCTACGTGCAATTCTAGATGATAGAACTTGATGATCTGAACTAATGTGAAATGTTTACTGAATAATCTTCTTCTGTACATCCAGCCTAGCACCGGGGTTAAGAAAATGGGCTTTGCAATCAGACAAACCCAAGTTCGAGACGTGGCTCTGACACTCGCCAGCTGGGTAAGTCTGGACACGTTATTAAGTCTTCTGAACGTATCGGTCTACACCCCTCCAGGTTGGAGTAGGCAGACCACAGCTACTGCTCTGCTACGCTAGTCGCAAACTTTTCCTTCTTGTTTATTAACCACACAAGTCTGCTATTTCTAGTTTTTTAGATACTGTTACGTGACAAGCTACTTTTCATTTTCTAAGCCTCTCGATTCACTGATTCAGTGTGGCCTGCGCCACGTGCAAAAGCCGTCCTGTCCCTTAACTGTCCATCTTCCTGGAGGACGTCTTTCATTTTGCTTGACTCAATCACTTCTTTAGTGATACTTATGCAAATATGGGTTTTGTAGTTGTCGGTTTAAATATTTGTACTTGAAAAAGCTATTAAGGAACAGTTCTAATGATTAAGGTTAGAATCGGAGTTAGTGACTCGCAGACACCTCATTCTTAAATGAGGACCAGTAAGTCTTGCTTAGAAAAATGGATCTAGCAAAACAAAGACAAAACGAGGGTGAAGAGAATAAGACTGCTATTATCACTGGGAACGTTAGAATGCCACAGTGACTGGAACTTCAATATTCAGAGCCAAATCATCTATCCGACCCCAACTGTGATACACCCACAGGGCAGGAAACCAGAGAGAACACCACGTGAGGATGTGCTAACGCCGCACAAAACCCAGGACCGGCCGTCGGACCCCGATCGCCACACCCGCCGGTAAGTGAGAACAGCGGAGGACTGACCTCAGCCGCTGCCTGTTAAGAACCTGCTCAGTTCTGAACAGTGTATCAGTCTTTCAGGCCAGTTTGCAATAATCGATGCATTATGTATGAATGATACATTATTACAATCATCCTCTCCTTTCTAACTTGTGATACGGTCTTTTTGAAACTGGTGAAAGTAAATTCAATTTAAATGTTTAAGTGAATGCATTAGGTTAAATACTGAGTTTACATGAAGCTAAATAGTTACCAGTGAATGACCTACAGTACATTACTGTGTTTGGTTTGGTATAGGGCTGCGGTCCCCAACCCCCGGCCGTGGACGGTACTGGTCCGTGGCCTGTCAGGAACCAGCCACACGGCAGGAGGAGAGCCGCTCCCCATCGCTCCCGTCACCGCCCGAGCTCCGCCTCCTGTCAGATCAGCGGGGCGTTAGATTCCCACGAGCGTGACCCCTGCTGTCAACTGCGCACACGAGGGGTCTAGGTTGTGGCTCCTTGTGAGACTCTGACGCCTGATGGTCTGAGGTGGAGCTGAGCGGTGACGCTGGCGCTGGGGAGCGGCTGCAAATACAGATCGTCATCAGCAGGGAGGTCTGACTGCACGGAGACCATAGTAAGTCAGTTGCTTGCAGACTCATGAGACCTATCAGTGAGTGGCAAGTAGCAGTTAAGCTGCATCTGGTGGCAGCTTCAAGTCAGAATCCGACACTTGTTTTAGCCCCGTCGTGGCTCACCTGTTACTCACCACTTCCGTCCACGCCGCTTCCCCTCACCGTGCATTTGTCTCGGCCACGGTTTTGTAAGCCCCCAAGCTCATCCTGGCAAAAATGAGTAAAACACAAACGTCGCTGGAGAGCTTCTTTGGAAAGGAGGAAAGACCCGATGATGAGGCAGCAGAAGACGCCAAGACCGCCACCAAAATGAAAGCTGCATTTAACAGAAAGTACCGAGAGTCCTGCGTAAATTACAGGTTCATTGCAACAGGTGATTCACGTTCTCCAAGACCACTTTGCGTAATACGTGGCGACCGGCTACCCGACGAAGCCAGGAAACCTTCAAAACTGCTTCGCCACGTGGAGACCAAGCACCCTGCATTAAAAGACAAGCCTTTGGAGTTTTTCGAAAGTAAAAAACGTGAATATGAAGAACAGAAGCAATGATCGAAGGCCACCCCTTCACCAAATGTGTCTGCCTGGAGAGCATCATTCTTAGTGGATGGAGCACTGCTGGAGCTAAGAAGCCCTTTACTGCTGATGAAGAGTTGGTCCTGCCTGCTGCTAGGGACATTTGCTGTGAACTTTTAGGAGAGGCTGCAGTTCAAGAGGTGGCACCATAACCAGACGAACTGATGAAACTGCAGAGGATACTGAGGCACAGTGGTTAGAGAGGATTAACGAGTCACTGTGGTGGGCAGTGCAGGTTGGTGAGTCCACCAATGTGGACAAGGCAGCAATGCGTGTTTTTTGTGCGGTATGTTTTTTAAGACGACGTGCATGAAGCCATGTTATGTGTCCTTTTGTTGCCAACCAACACCACAGCTGCAGAACTATTCGATTTTTTGAATGATTACACATCAGGAAAACTGAATTGGTCATTTTGTATCATTATACACAAATAGAGCTGCTGCCGTGACCGCGCAGCTTTCTGGTTTCACTACTCGGGTCGAGGAGGTCGCTTCTGAGTGTGAGTCTGTGCACTGTGTCATCCAGAGAGAAATGCTGGCTAGCCGAAAAATGTCACCTGAATTAAACAGTTCTGCAGGATGTGATTAAAACTATCAACCACATTAAAGTACATGCCCTTAGCTCGTGCCTGTTTACACAGAGCACGTGTGTCTGCTCTTATGTATGGAAGCGAGACGACTTTCTAAGGGTGGATCACTGGCCAGCATTTTTGAGTCACGAGAGCTGCTCCAGAGATTTCTTTTAGAAGAACAGTCACCACTGGGAGCACATCTCAGTGACACAGAATGGGTCACAAAACTTGCTTCCTTGTTTGACAAATTCAACCTGCTCAATGAACTCAAATCTCTCACTTCAGGGGGGAACCGTGTTCTTGTCGGCAGATAAAGTGGCTGCATTCAAAGCCAACCTGGAATTATGGGGGCGACATTGGGACTTTGGGATTTTTGGGACATGGCATTTTTGACACGTTTCAAACATCAGCAGAGATTTTTGACAGAGACTGAGCTGGGGCCACCTTTCTCCCGGCTGGTGCATGATCACCTATGTCAGATTTCAAGAGTCTGAGCATCACTTCCCAACCACAAAAGACCCCCAAACTGGGAAGGAATGGATCCGTGACCCATTTGTGAATAAGCCAGGTGACTCGGCTGTGTGCTAGAAGAGGATCAACTGCTTGAGGTCGCAAATGACGGTGGCCTTAAAAGTGTGTTTGAGACAACTTCAAATCTCCGTGTGTTCTGCATTAACGTCAAGGCGGAATATCCTGAGATTGCCACAGAGGCACTGAAAAGCCTGCTTCCATTTCCAACATCCTACCTTTGTGAAGCAGGGTTTTCTGCAGTGACAGCCACCAAAACGAGATTGCGGAGTAGACTGGACACTATTGGTGTCACTGTCTCCCGTCACCCCCAGATGGGACCGTCTAGTTGTAGGAAAGCAAGCTCAGGGCTCCCACCGATTCTGCATTATGGCGAGTTGTGTAATTATTTCCTTATATATCGCAATGTAATAATAATAGAAATAAAGTGCACAATAAATGTAATGCACTTGATCATCCCAAAACCATATTCCCCCTCCCCCTGGTATGCGGGAAAATCGTCTTCCGGAAACTGGGCCCTGGTGCCAAAAAGATTGGGGACTGGACTAAAGCAACAATTAAAGCCAGTTTTTTTAAATACATTTATTAACCAATGTTAACACATTAAATGAATCTATATATTGCTAGTCAGAGCAGCTTACAAAATGCCAGAATGCATCATGGAACCGGACAGCCACGATGAGTAATTACAATGTGCATAGTGGCGAAGCTCAACACCTTGATATAGCTTTATGATCTGCAGGAAATTTTTAATCATGATTCCTAAAACAATCAATTGTAATTTTACCTAAAACTTTTACAAAACCAGGCCACAATCTTTTTTTAATTTTTAGTTTTTTTTTTTTTTTAAACACACAGTTTTCACGCTGTAGTAACTTGGAAATGTGCAACCGTGTCAACAGAGACAGAAAAGCCAAAGTAACACGAATCTCACTTTCATGCAGCTATCAGGTAAATATTACATACTCTGGAATGATTTTACACCAAAAATATGTCCACAACAACTTGCTCTCATAGGGGTGGATCGAAGTTTTAAAACTTGAAAATCAATGGAAGAAGGTTAAGGTGTGGTTCTGACATCTCCCTCAGCGCCGAGCACCGTGGCGACACCGCTCGTCACCCGGCAACGGGAGGGAGCGGCGATGCCAAGTTACTGTGGCATTAGAGACACTGTATCCAACGGGGCTGCTGGGTACTTTGTACAAAATGTTGTGCACCGTTTGGCAGTAGTTTGTCGATTAATTTGTGTCACCACCATCTGCAACAGCATCAAGACTGGATGGACGATATTTCACAGAAGACTTAGTTACATTTTTATCTTCAGAGTGACCCTGACAAACCTGGAGAAAACTTTTTAAAAGGCTTTTCTCCTGATTCTTTCACTTCCATTGTGAGTAATTGCTTTAATAAATATCAAAGGTCTAAATAAATATTTACAAATTATTTCTCTAACCTCAAAAAATAAGTAAATGACAAATGGGAATTTGACTTGGTCTAAGATCAGTCTTTGAAAAAAAAAAACATAAATGGTGAGATACTTTTAAAGAAAAGTAATTTAAGTTTTCCTGGCTGTCTTTTATATATCTATGTATAAAAAAATCATCATTCAACTATCGATCCATTCCTATTGGTAATGCTTCTTAATCCAGACATTCCGCAAAATACAGATTTTTTACAAATCACGGCATCTTTAATACAAGAAAATTAACATGCATTATTCTTCATTCTGTGTACAGTGATGGAGTTCATTAGTAGGCAGTGACCCATTACTACAAACATAACGGCTTCTGTGAAACTTAAGTGCTTTCTTTTCCTTTAGGATTAACTTAACAATTCTCGAGGTGACACCAGGTATAGGCAGTTAGATGACGTTTGGGGAGGGAAGGGAAACATTAAAGAAATTTGTATGCCTCATCTGTAATTTCACATGTGGATAAAGGTAGTTTTTGGCTTTTTATTTTTGTTGTTTATTTTTGTTACAAGCACTCATGTTAGGACAAAGATGAAATGTGCAAACTTTAAAATTTAAATATTCATTTTTCTCTAAGATCCAGCTCAGTAAAAGATTACCCCAGTTCCCTGCAATTTTAAACTACAAGATCAAAGCTAATAATTTGTTATAAAAGTTATATATTGAAAAGAAATAATGAAAAACACAATTGGGAAATATTTAAGAAAAAATATGCAGGACTAGCCCTGCTGTGTCAACCCTGTTCCCTAAATTCAATCATATACCCACTGGCATAACCAACAGATAATGCCTCTGAACAGTAAATTAAGCTGAACAAAACCAGCTCAACAAGGTTAAGAAATAAATGTCACATCAAGGTAGTATGTTTTATTTCCGAAACAGTTCCGTAGTTCTTACATTCAGATCTAAACGTTTCTTTGTTAAACTCACTTGTATTCACCTGTTGTTTTTTTGAAGGTCTGTTGTTTAAAGGTTAAAATCTCTGTAAAACCTAAAAATGTTTTAAAATTTGCTGAAAATGCAACAAATTCTCAATTAAAATTTATTTAAAATAATACCCTCCACTGGTGTTGCTCTTACCCCCTGAAAAACTCCGGAGGAGCATTAACAAAAGATTTAAACTACTGTGCAAAATTTCTTCACGAAAAGTGTTTAAAGGCTGGTGCAAAATGGGAAGCAAATTTCAAACAATTTTGGCTTCTTGGAAACAAAAACCGCTGTGTCTGGAAAGAGCGATCGCGGGGAGACGCGCCGCGGGACCGCCTCATCTCTTCCGGCGGCAGGTGCGCTTGTGCTCGGCGTGCCAGTGCTCCTGCTGGCACTTGATGGAGCAGTAGGAGGTGTTCCAGCAGCAGTGGTACATGGCCTCCTCCTCGCAGTTGTAGCACTGCGGACAAGAAGCCGGGAGCGACTTTAGGACCGGGACCGACCGCGCGGGGAGCCGGGTACGGCTGCGGACCCTGGGGGCTGTGCTCTCAGAGACCTTGCTGGCGCAACCTCCGGCCGGCAGCACCAGCCCTAGAACTCGACACGTTTCTGCCCGCAGAGGGAGGGGCCGTGCCGGGCATCTGACCGGCAAACTCATGCCTGCCTGACACGACAGCCGCTCTCCATCGACACGGGGTCATGCCCGTCCACACAGAAACGTCAATTATTTTCTCTCATAAAAAGCTCTGGCCTCACCTCCCTTTCCAGCTACTACCCTGATTTCTCTGTCCCCCTCACCAACTTCTTGAAAGAATTCCTGAACTATTTCTCATTCTTCTCCTCTT